GTTATTTAAAAATTTTTTTTTTTAAATATTAACTATTAATATAAATTATATTTTAATAAATTTAATTTTTATATTTGTACAAAAAAATTTTAAGTTGTCTATAAGCTAAAAAAATTTAAAAATTTTAAAAATTTTTGATTTTTAAAAACTTTATTTTTGACTATTGACAAACTTTTTTAAATTCTAAGAATATGTCCCCTATAATTTTAATACAAATTGTAGATTAAGTTATCATAAACAACTTTTGTTATAAAAGTTTTATAATTTTATAATTAAAATTTTAACTTTGATTAGTAAAGAAAATTTTTTTTTTCTTTGAAAACATATAAAAATTTGAAAAATTTTAAAACTTTTTGAAAAAATTTATAGTAAAATTAAAGAATTGTCTACATTTAAACAAAATTTTCTTTTATTTATAAATATATATATAATTAAATTTTAATAGATATTAATTAACAATATGCTAAATTTTTTTTATTTTAGCTTAGTAATAGGGTACTCATTCTTAATAAAATTTTTAGTAATTTTAAAAAAATATATTAAAAAAAATTCTAGCAAGCAAATTTGGCTGCTGGACGGTTTAAGGAATAAAAAGTTTGTACTTATATAGAAGTTAAATTTTATAAATATTATATAAGTTGGTTTTAAAAATTTATATAATTATAAGCAAATATGACTATAGAGAAGGTGACTATAGAGAGGTCTGACTGTATATACTATTTATTTTATCTTTTTTGCTATATATAGATTTTATAGTTTTATTAATTTTATTATATATAATATATTCAGCTAAGTCTATCTGATAATAAACTATCTGTAATATTTTTATGTAATTTTTCTCAAAAAAAAGGTAGCTTATTTTGGAAGATATATGGTAACAATTGATCTGTATTATAGAGTTAAGGCCAAATCTCTAAAACAATTTGCAAAAGACAAAAATTATCAATAATTTTTCATATTTTTTATTACTTTTGCTCTTTTTATTCTAGTCTCTTAGAAGACTAAATATTTTTTTTAGGTTTTTCTTTTTTTTTTAAAGTTGCAAGTTTAGATTTTATTGCTTTTTATAAGTTTTTGTTAATGTTTAGTTTCTGCAATTTTGTATATAGAGAATTAGTAGAAAAAGTTAATTATTAATTATATAATTATTAATATAAATATAGTAATTATTAAATAAATTAAAAATAAAAAATTTTTTATTCAACTCTCCCTAATGATTACTTGGACCAACTAGTACCAAAAGCAAGTTAAAGACTCAAGACCAGAAGTTAATAACAACTTGAAGTTTTCTTGATATAAACTGTTATTGATGAAGTTTTTAAATGTGATATACTGAGAAACAGGTATTTTAAATGGTTTGCAAAAGGGTTAAGTTGTTTCTTTTCTTTGGTGAACTTTTTTTTGCATTTGGTATCCAAACTAGAAGAGTCTTTAAGAACAGCAAGTAGAAAAAAAACTCAGAAAGTTTGGAGACCAAAGGACATGATGAACTCTTGAAAAAATTCTCTTTAGTTAGAAACTCACAGTACCAAAACTTTCCTTACTGCTTTGATGTTTCCAAAACTATTTTTTAACAAAAAGTGAAGGATTAGGTTACCCTGTCAAAAGATTAGCATTGTTTAGCACTTCTATATTCAGTGACTCTGTGACATGAACACAACAAACACATGGCTACATAAAAAAGTATTTATTCTTTATTTAGAAACATGACCCAAACATCAAAGATTCAAAAGGTTTTTAAAGACTTACACACCAAGTAGATAAGGCAATACAGAGAGAATACATGGAGTCGATATATTTGTTATACTTTGAAATAGATTATGGATTTAAAAGTTGAGGTGACAAAGAGAAATTGAGATATGCAGTCTAACGACAAAATCATGTGCATATAATTTTTAACACTTAGCACAGATTAAAGTGTATTTAGTTTTTTTTTTTTATGTCAGCTGAGTTTTATGTAATTACTACAATCATATAGATAAATAACCTGGTTAGCAGGTACCAATTTGTTGATTAGGTTCTTTAGTCTTGTATTGTATTGTTTTTTTTCTTCACTTTTTTTAATATATTCACTTTCTTATATATTCTTTTTTTTAATATCCTTTTTCTCATATTCCCCTTATCCTATTTTGTTTTTTGAATTTTTTTGTTAATAAGAATTTTCCTTCAGATTGGTAATATAAATTTTTTTAAAACTTTGATATTTTCTTAACAACTAATTGATAAATTGCAATAAAACTTTTTAATTTGAATTCTACAAACTTGTATAATTCAAATAAATACTTTTATCAAAATTTATCAGGTGGTTGTCATGAAAGCATCGCTCAAAGTTTTAAAAATAAATTTTATGCAAAGGATCTACCTCACACGATGCAGAAAAAATATATAGTACTATGCCCTTACCCAGTTGTTAACTACATAGTTATATTTGCTATTAGAAATAATATGCAAACTAAATATAATTAAATATTGTCTTTAATAGCTTCTTCAAACTATCTAATATTGCTACCAAAATTCCACCTGTATATATGACTCAAACCAACAATATTTCGAAATTAAAAATAATGTAACATGATTAAAAAAATTCAGCTATTTATTCTGTTAAAAATTGCTTACCTTTAAAAATCTGCATATAAGCGATCTTTATATGCTAGCAATTTTACTATAGTAGATATCACTTAAAGCCAATATATTTTTATATAAAGGTTTCAATTTAGCTGTTGTATAATATAATTACCTAATAAAAATTGTAAATTTGATAGTTTAAAACAAAAAGCTATTAAATATATAATAATTAAAAGTTGATATCTTTTCATGATAGCAATCAGCTAACCTTTACTCTAAAATAACATTAGTCTTTAAAAGTTTATCAATATACAATATCGCCAGGGCTAATGATTTCTTGTTTCACAGAAATATCGCAGAAATCATGGAATCAGATTGTATTGCAAACATGGAATGCATCAAGAGTTGCATAGAATTGTTGCAAAAAGTAGAAAAATAGCACAGAAATATCATGAAAGGTAGGGATTTTTAGCAAGACTCATAGGAAAATATTCATATGATTCTGAACTATAGACGCAGACTTATTTATATTACTAGTTACAGTTCAATTGCACTTTATTTTATTAACTGTAACTTTTGATATGTGAAATAATATTATAGGTCTGCACCTATATATAATAAAAAAATCTCTACTTTATGCATATTTTTCATTAAACCCAGCTACTATTCAATTCTCACATTTTAAAGATGGTTGTAAATACGTATCACTTTCTGATTACATTTGAAACCAATAATTTCCAAAAATTAAAAAATTGCTAAAATGATGATAAGCAAACACAAATGCATTAGCATATGAGTATTGCCAAGGAAAAAGGGCTGTTCTAAAAGTTGTTTATTATGAAATAAAATTTATAATCTATTTTTAGAACAGTCTTTTCTCTTGGCGATATCATATGAAAAAGTACTGCACTGAGAATTACGATAATATAAAGTTTTTGAAGTAATACGTATTGAGTTTTGTTGTAATTGATTATATAATTACACTTGCATTATTAATCCAAAATGTGTGCATAAAGACAACTTGTACATACTGTATGTATGTATAGTACATATCCTATTATACTTGATTTATAAAAGAAGGATCTCCATTTTAAAAGTCAAAAAATCATCACTTCTCTATTTATGATAAGTGACAGATTTTTTCAATAAATTATAGCAACTTTGTATAAAAACTCTAATTCTAAAATGTGCAACATCTTTGTTGTCTCAAAAAAAGTATTAGAAAATAACCGAGATTATAATAATAAAATGGAACAAGAAAATCAATATATTGTTTTACAAATACCTAATTATTATCCAAAATTTGTAGATGAATTAACTAAATTCAGATAGTTGTGGTAGGATCAGGGTAATATATATCCAAATGCAAATTGGGAAAATACTTCATAAATTATTTTTCATGCCTAATAATAAATTAGTATAATGAATATTCTTAATACTATTATTATCTGCTATATGCAATAGATTGTCTTATGAACTAATGTTTAATATTAGTTGGGACCAGTATGCTGAATAAACTGATAAGTATAACGTGCATGGTATGTGGGAATGGGATCATGAAAAGTTTTTGTGCATAAACTTTCTTGTACACCTCATAAAGCTGCTTCCAATAAAATCAAATATTTGTTGATAGGTATTTTAACCAATGTGGTGGATACTGATGATGATATCAAATTCTTAGGATCGATAAGTAAGTTTTTTTAATATCTCTATATTTATGATTTTTTATATTTATTATTTTTTTTATCTAAAGCAACAAAAGTAAGAAGAACAGGTAAAGAAGCAGATGAAAGTTTGCGACCAGCAAAAAAACTAAAAGTGAATTCAAATGGGTGTAATGGAAGGGTATAGCTATTAAATTTTTTTTTTTTTACATATATAATTACATTTTAAATTTATAACATTAATTACTACTTTAGAATACACTCTGGCCAAATTTGGTAATTGAAGTAGCTTATTTAGAAAGCGAAGACCATCTCTTAAACAAAGTAAAAAATTATTGACTTCAGCCTAATAGAGTACAAGATGCTATTGCAATAAAACTAGAACCTTCTAATGAACCAGAAGCAATTTCTTCACGAATGATTGTAAGTAATTGTAATTCCTTTATGATTATTTCATTATAATTTATTTCTTGATAGGTATGGCATTTTTGTATAGATAATCGAACAGTTGTGAAGAACTAGATCTAGTGGTATATCATTATTATTGCTAATTATTTTAGTATATTTGTATATACTAAAAAGTTAACTTATCCTCTATTAAAAGTATATGAATTTGGAACCATTGACAAGTTTAGTAACCATTTTGATATTCTACCTGGGCAATATATTATCAATATCTGATTGGAATTTCTCTATAATGGAATGCTGTCTGATTTTTGGCTTCCAATATCTTTACTCAATCCAATTGCTATTGATCTCCTTAGTATTCAAAAATCCATTTTATTGGCATGGTTTCAAGATTTAAATACGGAATTCATTTGATCTTTAGTCTGTGTCATTAATGGTATCAATGATGTGCTAATTTGTTCATTTTACAATTGTGCATAACTATATAACAATTAAAATCATACAAAATGACTTTTGCATATGTACTCGGATATATTAGGCTCTTTTTATTTAAATTTTTTTTAGAAAAATGTTAAGATTCATGAGTTTATTATTGTTAAAAATACTTGCTGCTTTTTTGATATTAATAAAAACTAGACAGAAATAAGTTAATAGATATTATAGTATATATGTTATACATTAATTTGGAATTCACGTTAGTTCTGAATTGATATAAGTTATTTTGGAATCGTAATTTAACATATGCTATATCATGATCGGTATTATATTAATGTGCAGCATATACTATTCAGTTGGTAGTTGGTTATACAAAGTGAATGATAGATTTCTTTTTACCCAAACAATCAGTATATTTGGAAGAATCACTATACAAGATCAAGCGAGATTTACAGGCTTTATTGTGTTTATTTTATTTGTCGGATAAATTTATTTGATACAGGGTGCATATATGCTTGATGATCATGTAATACAAAAAATTTTTTTGCATGTCTAAAATTCAGTGTCGATTTTGACTTCTAGTGGGAATTTCTGACCTTTCAGTGATAGTAGGAATTTCTGATTTTTTAGTGACACTATTAATTTTGCTTCCAGAAGTCTTTTAGCTTTCTAGTAATAACGCTGTCTGAAATAATAGAGAAAATGTTCAACAAAATTTTTTAAAAGAATTTTTTGAAAAAAAATTGTAATTTTTGTGTCAAATTAAAGTTTTTTTGAAGGCCATTAAAGTCACATGAAAATGATATGATTGGCCAGTTATCTAGTACCTAGCCACAGCAAAAACGAGCGTCAGATCATGTGACTTCCGAAGGATCAAAACAATCGAAAGTAACATATAAATAAAGGAATGAATATATAATTAAGGTTAGAATACAAAATGCGATTTCATAAGCAAAATTTTGAGTTATTTGCATTTTTAAAAAAAAACTTTACATTTTCACATTACACCAGATCCTGAATTTTGATTGGTAGATGTTAATTCGGAGCATTGGAAGTCACGTAATCTAGCACCTCGTTTTTGCCGTAGCTAGATTATTACCTCTACGTAATGGCCAACAGCAAATTAACTGATAGGAAATCACTGTGGTGTAACGTAGTATAAGTTTTAAAAAATTTGTATAAGAAACTAATTTTAAAAAATTTTGGTAAGGTAAAATTTTAAAAAAATAAATATATAAATATTTGAATAAATATATGAGTTGCACCCAGGTTTTAGACCCTAAAATAATTTCGTTAGCATTTATAACAAGTTGAGGTCTTGTTTATAGTTTATGTTTTTCTTCAGTTAAACTTTTTCTTGCTAATGTTCTATAATTTGTTTGATCAACAACAATAGACTCTATATGATCATCTCTTCTATATAATTAGCAGTTTCAGCTTAGCATTAGACCTAAAAGTTTACAAATAATTTTCTTAAAATTACATACAGTTAGGCATCACGGAATTTGACTTCACAAATTTAACTAGATAGATCTAATTTTAGGATTCTTTATATTAATTGAAATATCAAATAAATGCCTATGTTTATAAATTTAGAATATTTAAAAAGGTCAAATTTCACAAATCCGCCGCAATGGTCTACGATAGACATGTAAATCCCGGGTCTATTCTAGGAATGTCTTTTCTAGTTTCATACTGATAGAAATCTCTGATATAAAGATAAATCATTCTACTAGTATTTCCATTTTTGGCCATTGAATTTAGAAAGGAATGAAGGTTTTGAAAGCCTATCATTAATACACATTAATTTTCAAATTTTAAAATGGATAATGGATTAGTACATAGTTATTATAGTTACAAGTTATTCTTATATTTAGTAAGTTAGGGATATAGTTTTATAATACCTTATGATTTAACTGATTTAAAAGTTAATGAACTTGAAATCATCTGAGCAAGCAAAATGCTTTTTCAAGAAAGCCTTAGAAATTAAAGACTTTGGTTACATAAAAATTCAGTCTATTAAATTAGATTAACAAAAAAAAAATCCGACCCCCGATCGAAATTCCGAATGTCATTTAATGCTAAACGAAAAATCATCTTTGTGTAGCCTTAGTAATTTAAGTGCTGTTGAATTTTTAAAAACTTTGAGTGAAGTTTTCCTGACCGAATTTGATAAAAAGTTTTTATTGGATATTCTTGCAGCAAAAGAAATAGCTTGAAAACTATTGAATCAAATTTTATACTAGGCCAAAAATTGGATACTGTCACAGAATGGATTTAACAAACGATAATATGAACTAGAGAAAATAGGTAAGGCAACTCGCCAGAGGCGTCACTATGGTGATTTAGGTCTTGTAATAAGTTATTATAGTGATCCTCATGTGCTCCTTCCCTGCACATAAATGTCGTAACTAACTGCCCTCGATGTTATGCTCTTTAAAATAACTTCTTTGAAGTATGATTAAAAGAGACTTTGACTACCCCTTCTTAAAGCTTTCGCTTAAGGCTTCGCTTAGCATTCCAACACACTGCC